AGCTGCAGTGGGAGAAAATATATGCAATGGATACTCCCTTAGGCTGTTGAACTTCTGAGGTCCGCTGCACAGCCTTGCCTGGCAGGAAGCTCTAGTCTTCTCCAGACTGATGGTTCAGAGTGCATCTGGTGAAAGTGCCAGCTGATAGGATTAATCTGTGTACTCACAATCTTCTGTTCTCCCAGATGACAGTGTCACAGGGTAATTCTTCTATCATAAAAGAAATAATGAACACTACTCACTTCCTGATATACTGCAGTATTTGCTCACAGTAATAAAAAGGAGGAAGGTGGCCAAATATGTATTCTGAATCCTGAACATCTGGCAAAATTGCTGGGAAGGGCTGATAGCTGGTCCCTTCCGCAGTTACAGGGTGAGATTTCAGATGTTGAGTTTTGAATCCACAGTATATTCAAGGGCAAACCTCTGGTGGTCACTTGCATCTCTGGTGTTGCTTTTGGTTTTCAGTTTTCGTTTGGTTTGTTGGGATTTTTGGGTTCATTTAGTTTTTTGTTTGGTGGGCTTTTTTTTATTTTTGGGGTTTTTTTTTTTTGCTTTATTTTTTATACAAAGGAGAACAAATTGCTCCTTCTTACTCTTACTTGTCTGGAGACCTCAGAGTAGTAAGAGGAACAGAACCGAGTCTGTTATTCTCTCTATAAAAGCCATCTAGATGCAGGGACTGAGCTAAAGATGAAAATGAGTGTGGCACTTGCCCTCCACTTTTTGCCTTGCCCCATTGTGCAGCAGGAGAGTAGATGGTGGGCTCTGGTTTGGGCTGCACAAGCAAGGCAGTGCTCTTCTCTCAGGGCACTGTAGTACTTGTGGGACCCTGGTGTCTGCTGGTCTTCCAAAGCCCTGGGAGGAGCAGCAGAGCAGGAGTTAAAATATCAGTATGGGTGCAGAATGTGAGAAGGCCAAGAACAGCCATGAAATCCAGGAAAGACAACAGATAACAGCAAGGAAACAGCAGGTGCTGGGTGGAGTGGTGACGACACCAAGGCCACACCACTGATAAGGCCACCAGGCAAATGTGGAGCAAGAGCAACATGATGCAATCTGGTCTGGCCGGCTGCCATCTGTGGTCACTCAGATGGAAAGCCTGCAAACAACTGCAGTCCCCTAGGAGGGGAGAGGTGTAATAAGGGTTCATGATGTGATGAGCAATCCCGGATGAGTACATGGATGTGGGTACCACTGGTGTGGCACAAGCACAAAGGCAGGGGCAGTGCTGCAAGAGAGTAGGCCTAAGATTAGTTTTAGCATCAGAAATCTCCTTGCTTGTTACCACTATCTACAACAGAGTTTATGTGTCTTGCCGGTGATGACACTAGATCTCCAGCTCCTCAGACAAACCCAGAGCCTTCACATCTCCTCATCCTATGTCTTGAAGCCTTCCACATCACCATCTTGCTGGTGTAGTAACAGGGAGAAAATGCAAAGCCAGCTGGAGCTCCACAGCCAATGTGAGGGAAGCAGCCACCAGAAAATCTCCTGCCTCACCTGAGGAAGAATTTCCCTACCTCTTCTTCAAGAGGTACAGTAGATAGGGACTTCCATTAGGAGTTGCAAGTCTGTGCATGGCAGAAAAGCTTGAAAAAACAAAAACAGTTTGCAAGAAGTCTCTTATGCTTTGTCATCTCTTAGCATATCATTTTAGCCTGCATCTTGAAGGCACTGGAATTTGAATACCACTAAGGAATGAGGTGGAGGAAGATCAAGCCTTGTATCAGCCAACAGCTTTGATACAGCACCACTGACCTTGCTGCCTCCAGCTCAGAAGGGAAGCAGACATTTCTTTCCAACCTCTATCCAAGGAGAGTGATCTGGAGTACACAATGTGTCCCAGCAGCACAGCCCCAGCTTGCTGCTCTTGTGCTGCTGCTGGCATGACCAGAGAAACAGGCCATGCTTGGAACCAGAGGCAGTGGAGGTAGCACCAGAGGCATTACAATCAGCATTTGGATGTTTTCCTTGTTAGCAAAAACTTTTGAGAAGACTTTAAAGGTCCAAGATAGCCCTCATCTGGAGCTGTGAAGTCTGTTGGTGTGTGAGCAGTTTGCAGGAGGGGGCTCTGTGTTGTTCATATTATCAAGTGTTGGCTAGGACCAAATTTGCCAGATGTGAATCTAAGGTCATACATCCATGTGTGCTGGAGACTGACAGCTGCTTGTCCCATGGACCCAACCTGCTGGAGGCAGGGTCCTACAGGGCTCACCCAACAAACCTTGTGCAGTGAGGCTTGGTTAGATACATATCCCACTGAGATGTCTCACCTCTCTGCTGGTTTGGGTTGTTTACCCTTTGGGATAAGGTTTCTTTCCTGACTCCTGACCTGATAATCTCAAGGCTCTAGTTTATGAAACTTGCTTTATATATTTCTGTCGTCTGGCACCACTAAAAAGAGATTGGCTCCATCAGCTTCCCTTCCAACAGCTGTAGGCTGCTATCAGATCCCCCTTGGCCTCTCTTCACTAGACTAAACATGCCTAACAGGACCCCATGTGCCTTGGGAGCAACTGCTAATGCAGTTAAATATTTACTTTAGTTAAAGGATTTCCAAAGTGGAATAATAATGAAAGCCAAAGGTTTTTGAACTGTGTAAACTCCGTGAAGAGGGAATATAAAACGTGTGCAGCTGCCTTGGCAGAGCAGACAAATGACTCTGTCAAGGGAGCCCTGAGCTGGTTATGTTGCCACTTCCCAGAGTCACAGACCTGCTGAGTTGCATGAATGGACCTCCAACAGAAGGACGCAAGCAGCCTCTGGCAGGGCCCATACCTCTCTGGCCCCAAGGGATGTTCAGGCTGTCCGCTTTTGATTCAAACAGAGAGGGCCAGTGTGTATCTTCCTCTAGGGAAAAAACATCCCAAGCACTAAATCCTAGTCAGATCCTCAGTGACTGCAAATACTCCATGTATCTGGAGCTCTGAGAAAATAAAGCTTCTGAGAAAGAGCAGATAAGAATGTTCACTCTGACATAAAGTGTCCAGTCTTGCAGGCAAAGCAGCTGGGATATTCTGGGGTCGTGATTCTTTTTGAAAAGATGGTGTTTCTTGCCACTGAGGGTCATCTCCGGCCGCTCTATCCTCTCCTTGCTCTGTGTGCTACCTCTGTGTATTTAATCTGGGTATCCAGATTATCTGGTTTATCTGGTTACCCCCTTCCAACACACTGGATCTTATGATCATTTTGCTGTGGCAATCTCAGCTGCAGCCAAGAGCAAGGAGTAGAGTAAGAGCAAGTGAGTGGAGTAAGGTATTAGACCACCTCTGACTGTGTGGCTTGTCTGAGCTTAGGCACTGACTGCACCTGCAGCTCCTTGCCCCCAGGCAGCTGAATTTTGTACCCTCTAGACCCTCTGCTAAACCCCCAGCCTGTCCCATCCCATCCCACCCAGTGACTGTATGGGCTTGCTGCAGCATGGTGACAGGCCTCCCATTGTGTTTGGGACCCTCACCAGTGCATCAGGCAGATGAGTATCCACCTGGCTGGGTCTCATGGGATAACACCACAGGGCCACGACACAAATCACCCTGAATTTCCTGGCTATGTCTAGTCTCACAACTCAAGTGCAGATACCTGTCATGCATGGAGAATAGCAGCTGCAAGGCTGAAGGGATAGTTTGGGTGAGATTCAATCAGAAGTAGCTGGCTGGGGTAAGTAGAGAAGAGCAGCATTGCCCAGCCCTGATGTGTTAGTTTTGTATGGCCTCATTTTTGATAGTGGGGGACCACAGAGGTGGCTTCTGTGAGATGTTGCTGCAAACTTCCATCATATCCAGCAGAGCCAATCCCTGATGGCTCTGAAGATGGACATGCTGCTGTCCAAGGCTGGGCCAATTGAAGAGGTTGGTAATGCCTCTGTGATAACAGATTTAAGAAGAAAATCAAGACAAAGTTGGGTGCGCAGTGTTAATTCCAGTCAGAGAAGAGGTGAGGGTGAGAATGTGTGAGGGAAACAACATGGTCAGTGGGGAAGGAGGGGCAGGAGCTGCTCCAGGCACTGGAGCTGAGTTCCCCTGCAGCCTGTGGTGCAGCCCATGGTGAAGCAGCTGTGCCCCTGCAGCCGCTGGGGATTCACAGGGATGCAGAGATCCTGCAGCCCATGGAGGTGCCCATGCTGGAGCAGGTGGATGCCTGGAGGAAGCTGAGATCCAGTGGGAGACCTGATGGAGAGAGGGACTCTGCCCCCAGGCTGGAGCAGCCTGTCCTTGGAGGACTGCACCCCGTGGGAAGAGAGACACACTGCAGCAGTTTTGAGAGGATTGCCTGTGGGAGAAATTCACATTGCAACAGCTTTGGGATTACTGCTGCTCCTGAGATTTAGGCACAGCTGGAGAACTTCACAGAGGACTGTCTCCCATGGGAGGGACCCCATGAGCTCACAAGGGAACAACTTTTTCCCTGTCCAGCAGAAGAAGACCTTGGGTGATGAACTGACTAAAACCCCCTGCCCTGTATCCCATGCTGTCAGTGGGAAGGAGGGAAGTGTTGTGGAGAAAGAAAGGTGGTTTTTTATGGCTTATTTTACTTCTCATTGTCCACCTCTGATTTTGTTAGTAATAAATTCATTTTGTACATCTAAGCTGAGCCTCTTTTGCCCTTGGAGTGTTTTCTGCCAGTCCTTATGTCAAATCATGAAGCCTTCATGTAATTTTTCTCTCCTCTGCCCAGCTGCAGTTGGGGAGGGTGAGTGATTTCTGTGGCTGCCTGGTGTTCAGCCAGCATCAAACCACAATATCTGACTACAGTTCAAAGGGATTGTAAAGCAGCTTCCGATGCTGCCACCTGAAGCTGATAAGTGGGAAGCTTCAGGGAAAAGCTTATCTTATATGTGAGAATGCCTAAGTGATTCCCTTAGGGTGTACAGTCCAGCTGCACCCAGCAGGAACAAAACACTGCTTTTCCCAGTGTTCCTGAGATAAGACTGTGCCTCTGCCCTATAAAGGCAGCCACGAGCAGAGCAAGGTGCATGAGCAGTTCTGCCTGAGCTGAACATGCCTGGGAGAGAGCTGCTGCTCCTGCTGCTGCTGGCAGCGATGGTGACTCTGGCTGCTGCCAGAGGTAAATCTGCTCTGCTGCTGGAGGCTGGTTCATCAGCAGTGGGTTGGGAATGGCAGATGAGTAATGGGATGGAGGGGAATGCATGACAGGACATAAAGACCCAGAAATTCTGGTTTGGAGAGGAGGTGAGATTAGGGTAAACAAACAGTGGCAGCATGGTGAGGAAGAAGGATTGCATCAAGCACACTGTGCCTTTCTTATTAGCAGTTTGTGGCAAGGGTTGCAGGCTGGTTCATCAAGTGTATTGCACTTGGGAGCCATCTAGGAGAGGGGAGAGTCCACAGCTGCTGTATTTTCTGCCTCCATGTGAACTGGCAAGTCCTTGCAAGAATAGTATGTGCTCAGCATATTTATGAGGGAATCACCTGTTTATAGGCACTGGAAAGCCACTTCTGCCTATGTGCAGGTAGTGGTGGTCCTGAAGCTGCCTGTGTGTGTGTGAGCCTCCATGCTCCCATAACATTTGTGCACTGTGCAGGTGGGCTTGCCTGGGAAAAAAGGAGCCCACCAGATGCTGCTCTCCCTAAAGCAGTTGTCCAGCTGTGCAATATGACCAAGCCTCATCCCTCTGAGGATACCCCACGCCACATGCTGCATTTCCCATTTCCATGTTTTGGGTGCTCTGTGGAGCTTCTGACCCAGAAACTCAGAGAGAGGGCATTTAGGAGAGGGTTTAGGGAGTGGGAAACAACCATTCACAGGTTTCTCCCATCCAGCTCAGCTGTGGATGGAAGCTGTGGACTGTGCTGCTGTCAGGGAAAGATGGAAGTGGCATGCAGCAACAAGCTGATCCCTGTTATGAAACCCAGAGCTGATTCAGTCTTGAGTGGGCTCTGCACAACACTGCTTTCCCTTTGGTTTGGATGTGATCCTCTGTCAACATCTCATGCTTCTGCCATCAGGCATGGGTGTGCCATGCTCATGGGTTTCTGCTTTGTTTCAGAGGCAGAGCTAAATGAAGGGGGTGGCCTGAGAAAGGTAAGAGTCTTCTGGTTTTCTTTGTTCGTGGCTGGAGATGGGCATGCCTGCTGTGCCTGGGAGAAAGACTGTTCCCAGAAATCATCCCCAGCCTCATGGCAACTGGTGTTCTGACACCAAACCCACACCAAAGCCCAAGCCACGAGTCCCACTGAGAGATTCAGTGGCCCCTTCTCCTCTGTGGGCACACACTGCTCCAAGACAGAGGGAACCAGGTTTCCAGTGTCACTTGCTCCTGCATGAGTGTTCCGTGGGGGGAAGAAATGGGTGCTGCTGGCACTGAAATGCATGCTGTGGTTTCTCCTTTCCAGCCAGTGTGTGAAGACCTTGTTTACCTGCAGGCCTGCCCCCTCCTGTACTTGCCCATCTGTGGGACCGATGGGAATACCTATGCCAATGAATGCCAGCTCTGTGTGGAAAAAATGTAAGCTCATGCCCTTGGCAGGGACCTCCTGGGTCTAATTTTGGCTGTCTGAAACTGGGTGCTTGTGAAGTGCAGTCATTCATGCTCCCTAGAGCTTGGGACAAGCCATGGGAGGCTGCACTTGCATGGCAAGTAACACAAATCGTGTGCTGGGCTGCAGGCGGGGAAGGATGGCCAGCTCGTCAAGCAAAGCTGCAAGGAAGTGCAGAGGAGCTGTACCCAGCCAGGCTGAGGAAGGGGATGCCTGGGGGTATCCAGCAGCAACCTACAGCTGCAAGTGGGATGGAGCCTCAGTCATCTTGGTTCAGGCAATACAACATGGGGCAACAGCCACAGACAGCAGCCACAAGAGGGTGAAAATTTGACACATCACCACAGAGGCGTGAGGGTGGGGATCCATTCTTGGGGATGGTGGTTGGGGCTCAGATAGAGCCATGGCTACCATAACTTCATGCTGGGGACAGCCCTTCTGTGAGCAGGTTGAGCATTGAGCTGCAGATGCACCACTAGTACCACAGGCCCTGGGAGGGAACATCCATGAGCCAGGATGTTGCAGTGACCTCAGCTCTTTAGACAGAAAAATGAGCAGGTCAATTTTGTAATAGCTCCATTCCATTTGATGGTATGCAGCCAAAGTATGACTCAAAAGTTTTTTTTTTTTAATCTCTTACTCTTTCTTCCTATATTACTCTAGGAAAACCAGGCAAGACATCCGAATTTTGAAAGATGGGGAGTGTCAAGATACCTGAGCTTTCTGATAGCTTTTCTGAACCTAAAACCAGGTGATTAATTGATCCTGTGTGCTCTGTGCTGATTGCAGACTTAAGCTAGCTATGGTGAATAATAAAATTACATGCACAATCTTATTTCAACAGAACTTCTTTTTATGTATGGCTGGAGGAAAACAGCATAAGCCAGTTCCCACCAAGGGCTACTAAAAGTGCACAGTCAAAACAATAATTTAAAATCCACATAACGAACTGGGGTGCTTTGCATAGAGTATTATCTCACCCACACTCCTGCAAGAAAGGTCATGGGGGAGTAGCAAGAAACGCACCCATCCTGATGAAGAAGATGCTGAACAAGCACAATTTTTTCTCTGTAGGAGGCAATTGAGTGAAGGCAAAATAAAGTTTCTCTGACATAGGAGAAGATGACTCCCTGGATTCCTAGTAAATGGCTTCACTGGTTCCAGAGCTGATGTAAATTGAAAATAGTAACATCTGCACTTCCCATATTAGATGTTATTCTGCTTTTTATCTAAGGCTCTTTCATAGAACAATCAGCTCAGATAACACATGGGAGCATGGAAAGAGCCTAAGCGAAGATGGTGAGCATCAGAGATCCCAGATGTCTGCCCCAGCACTCGAGAAAAACCCCAAAGTTAAGAATTTTCAGGTGTAGGTTGCTCCTGGTGTCAGGGCCATCTTTGAGATTGTTTCAGGGTTCAGTCCTGCCAAGGTAATAGTGTCAGTGTGTATCAGCAGGTCTTGGGGATTCCTCTGCTCTTTCATGTCCTGCTTCTAGCACAAGGACACACAAAACACCTGCAACAAGGCAATACAACTTGGGCAGGCAAGGGGCCCCGTTTGCACACAGTGGCGGAGATCAGAGGGCTGATGCAGGGCTTGCCTCCTTAGGTCATTTCAGTCCCTCACCAGATGTTGTATTTGTACAGAATTACCAGCTGAGATTTCGGATCAGCTTTGAAGAGTGCTTCAGGGTGAGCTGAAACCTTCCAAGGACAGGTCTGTGCTCACTCACAGGAGATCATGTTGCTCTGACTTGCTGCTATACTAGTAAAGTATAGTATCACATACAGCTCTAATTTTCAGGCATCTGATAGGAGTCTGGGGTCTACCATGTGGTCAAGTGAGCTCCCCAAAGTCAGTGGCCATCCTCAGAGTCTGGGAGATGTACCAGTGTAGCGAGAGTTCTGAGAGAGAGAGGACACCATTTATATTTAGAGTGGAGGTTGAGCTACCTAGGCCTCAGATATGGGGCCCTGGCAAGGCCTTTGGAGCCTCTGATGCAGTAAGAAATTAGTTGTGGTGTAGTCAGAAATTATGTTAAGGTGAACACAGAGCAATGGGCTTTCTGGGTGTGAATTGGTATAGGGCTGCAGTGTGAAACTTTAGCCACCTTAACACAAAGACAAACAATGCTTGCTGGCCAATGATAGTGTGCTCACAATTGTAAACTATATTGAAGTGTATATAAACTGCCATCTTACAAACAATAAACAGAGAATGTATGATTAACCATATTGGCTTGATCTGCATTTGTCCTGTCCAGCACTCCCTATTTTATAAGAAGTCCCTTGCTTCTTACCAGTGTCTGCTATGACTATTGTGCTGGGTCAGCTGGAGTTCACCCTGTCACCCAGTTCTGCACCTTGCTGGAGCCACCAGGTGGGACACCCATAGCACCACAGTGCACAACAAAGCCATTGCTGACAGACTGAATGCTGCAACTGGAAATAGTATTGAGAAGCATAAAACAGCCGTGCTCTGTCAGATGGATTATATCCACTATTTTCTGTCTCAGAGGGAGCTGCTGTCATAAAAAACTTTATTCTCCTTAGGCTGAGAAGTCGTAGTATGACTAATTGCTCAGGGTTGTCACAGAGCTTTGATTTTCCCTGTTTTGCTTTCCTGGACCCTTCCTATTTCTGCAGAGGAAGGGACACCTGTCCATGGCTGCTCCTATTACCTATTCTTTGTCCCAAGGCTCTGCAAGGCTGTTTGTTCCCTTCCAGTCCGCAAATAGCATGGAAGAGGTGGTCTGGCTGTGTGGTACTCTCTGTGTTGCTAGCTCTTCTCTGCAGACCTTTCTGTCTCCCCTGTGCCACAGGGAAAAGCTTTGGTAGGGCCAAAACACATCCACGGTGAGCAACACAAATGTATTGCTCACTTCTGTCCTGAGGTTTTCTGCTCCTGCTGCTGCCAACTCAGCCACAGGCAGGATTTATTTGGGCACCTCTATCCCAGTTTTCTGCCAGGGCTGCGTGGAAAGTTATGCCCAGCTTAGCATAACTGGGTGTTGCTGTCCCTTGGAGTGGACAAGTGTCACCAGGATCTCAGCCCCATGCCATGGCTTGAGCTGCACAGGCAGAGTGGCTGCAGCCCAAGAGAGTGTGTGTGCTGTGTATGCCCCGAGGGCCACAACTGTTTATGTGCAGAGGCTAGGAAAAACAACACAGACCATCCAGAAAGCTCTTCTGAAGAGGGAAACCACATGCCTCCAGCACAAAGTGGAGCATTTATTCAGAAACTGCAGAACTAAAGCACAGACTAATAGGCCAGACCTGCAAGGTCAGAGCATGGGCAGCCACAGGACAGGGTGAGTGTTGACTCTACACACAGCAAATTCAGAGATACTCATCCTCCCCAGGGACTTGTGGATTTGGATGTTTATTTCACATGGCTCAAAAGCAAGTGGCAGACCAAGAGAAGGCTGAAGGCAGTGATTGAAGACTACCACAGACCTCAGGGCCTGTGCAAGACCAGCCTGCTGCAGAAAGCCTGACTCTGCAGCCCAACAGATATGTGTCTGCCAAGGCCAGGTGAAACTCAGGGAGTAGCTGGTGGACAGCAAGATGCCTGCAATGCCCTGACCTGTGCCAGAGAGTATGCATATGAAATTTGCACTTTTGAATTCTCTTTTCCTATTCAATTTATCTGTGTGTTTCTCATCTTTTCATGCTTCACTCAAGGCAGGGATAGAAAGGGATTATCTGCTTTTACATGCACTTTCACAGAGCAATGAGTAGTCCTGCTCTCAGAGCAGTGTGTTGCAACCAGACAAGCTTCCTCAAGTCAGAGAGTGAAGGACAAGCCTGCAAAGTTGCTTCTTTGTCATGTCTTGTGAGACAAAACTGGAAAAAATGCCTGACAGCCTGCAAGAGTGGCAGCAGCATAGCTCCCCCAGCTGTCCGTGTTGACCAGGGCTGCCCATGACTGCAGGGAGGGATATGTAGGTCTCTGGATAGTGCTTTGCAGTAGCCTTGCCAGATAGGGGGAACAGATACTCTTAAGGCTCATGAAGACCTTTGACTTAAACATAAATCCAAAGCCTGGTGGTGTGTCTACAGTAAAAGCAGTCCAGCCAATGGCTGGATCCTGTCCTAGGAGTGTTTGTCCCTTGGACAAAACTCTCCTAGGATATTTGTGTGTTGAAGGCTGTGTGGGGATATGGTGAGATGTACCTAAGGTTGGTGATGTTCCCCCACTGAGCAGCTCCAATGACATTTGAGGAGTCTGTGACACTGGAGATGCTCAGGTTGCTGAACTCTCAGTTGACATCTTCCAGGGCCTCAGAAACTGAGGAAACTAGACACATCAGTGAAAATGGCCCAGGGCTAGCTGAACTGAAATGTGGAAAGAAAGGGGAGGAAAGCAGCACTTGGTACACTGTAAAGTGTCCAGGTACAACAGTTCATGTAGCCAAGACTGGCCATAAAATTTAACCTACTTGCACAAATTTCTCTGCCGCAAAGTGGATGCAGCTGTGACCACATCTCAGTCCCTCTACTTCAGTGCATAAACAACCTGAAAGTAAGTGGCTTGTAATTTCCACATCACTAACCATTGAAGTTTTCTGTGGGATGCTGAAATTGCGTCCTTGGCATTTAAAGCACTTTACAGTCAAGGGACAAATGTCTTCCAGAGATTTCCTTCCTGAGAGATGCAAGTGCAAGCTCTGTAAGATTTTGAAGTCCATCTATTCCATTAAACACCTCTGAATAACCTGGGGGCACAGTGACTCTCTTTCACAAATGCTCCCTTCAAGGTCAAAGACAGACAAAATGGAAAAAACATTCACAGTACCATCTCTTCAATGTGTTACGGCAAAGGTTTGCTGAGTCAAGAGTCACTTATCAGCCCCCACCAGGCTTTGGGATGACTACGTAGATGGCTGGCATGAGAAGCTGAGTTAGCCACAGCCTGGGCATGCGCCCAGTTCCTGTGGAGCACTGAAACACACAGGGATTTCCACCCTTCCTTCCATGCTTCATAACACCTGCAATCATCCCAGAATATAGAATCATTTAGGTTGAAAAAGACCCTTAAAACCATAGAATTCAACCATTAACAACCATGTCCTGCAGGAAACCATGTCCCTAAGCACCATGCCTAGATATCTTTTAAATACCTCCAGGAACATTAACTCCACCACTGTCCTGGGCAGCCTGACATCCAACCTAAACCTACCCCAGAGCAATTTGAGGTCATTGCCTCTTGCCCTATTACTTGTTACCTAGGAGAAGAGATGGACCTCTACCAGTCTACAGGCTACTATCAGGAGGCTGTACAGAACAATAAGGTTCCTTTTATTCAGGATCCTTTTATTCAAGCTCAACACCCTCACCTCCCTCAATCACTCCTCAGAGGACTTGTTTTCTAGACTTTTTGCCAGCTTCTTTTCTCTTCTTTGAACATGCTCCAAGCACTTCAGTTTCTCCACCTGGGACTGGGCAGTCCTGCATGTGTGTACAGACTGGGGAATGAGAGGCTAGAGAGCAGCTCCACAGAAAAGCACCTGGTCAGTGGCAAGCTGAACACAAGTCAGCAGTGCCCTGGCATCCAGGAGGGCCACCCATGTCCTGGGGTGCATCAGGCAAAGCATTACAGCCAGGCAAGGGAGGGGATTGTCCTACTCTGCTCTGCACTGGGGCAGCCTCAGCTCAAGTGCTGGGGGCAGTTTTGGGCATAGGAAAGATATCGAGCTCTTATAAAATTTCAAAGAA